CGCGATTCGAATCAACGTCTTTCGCATCTCTTCTGGAAAAAGTCTCGAGATATTTTCTAATCGATAGCAGTTTATAAAAAAGCTCACTCGAGCACTCCATTAGAAGCAGCGGCGGCAAACGCTCGGCAAATGAGCTCCTCGAAAACTCTTCTCGTATTCTGGATCGCATCTTCTGGAAACACTTGACCCGACGACAGATGTTCGGCAGTTACTCCGACTCTTTTTTTTTTTCGACTCGACTGCGAAGATAAATCGAGTAGATAGGAATAAGCTTGCGGCGGAGAATGTTTATTCATAACTACGATCAAAGGTCCTGCACTAGTCCAAACAAGTAAAAGAAATACACGTCTAAATTCCCATCCTCCTGATTAATTCGCACGTGGAGAGACGAGCTTGATGACACGGCCGCTATATCTGTCGCGCGCGAGGGATCGTGAAATTGAACGTTTAGACATTTTTTTTCGTCGCCTTATACATACGAGACGAGTGTGGCCAGGAGATGCGTCACGGCAGGCTGGCTTCGCCTGAATTTTTCACGCAACCGAGCACGTGGCGATAGGCGTGCGAGTTTGCTTACGAGGCCGCGCCATTAAGACTATGGTAGCTACTTCCGGTAGGCACGAACGGGGTGTTCACGCACCTTGCTTCCGTAAAGTTCCACTTTCCTATCATGAGATACGATCCCTTCGCTCGAGGACTCGCGTGGAAAATAGTGGATCTCGTTCCGCTCAACATATTGCGATTCTTGCCAAAGACGAGAGACACAGAATGCACAAATATACGATGCATAGAATGCTTGACGATACAGAATACACGACATTTACCGTTACATGATGTCATTGTGGACATTGTCGTGTCGGAGGAAAACTCGATCCAGGAAAGCCAGATTCTCGAGTATTGTGTCGTCGATGAAGGCTTCCGTTTCCGAATCCACACGCTTCCGTCCGCGATTTCCGCCAGACGTTAGTTACGGACGATACCGAAATTATCTTTCCGGAGAGAACCGGTCATCGAAAAATAAAGGACGATATTTATATTCCTCGAACGTATCAGCAACATTTAGAAAATCAACTTTATCTAAGTGGAGTTTGAAACCTCGGCTCGAGCTTAGAACCTTCTGATATTTATATCTATTTATACGGAAATCCTGTCGAGATAAGACGCGATAATCGCACTAATGCAAAGACAATTTCCGCGCTTGTCACATATGTTTCAGCGTAAAAAAAAAATTATTAAATTATTAATTTATAAATGTTATTTTTGGGGCATTTAAAAAGGATGGATAAAAAGGACAGTTCTTTTCCTTCTGCGAAAGGAAGGCACTGTCCTGAGAATGGCCGCCGAGCCCTTAAAATAGACGGAGAATTCCTCGATTAAACGGTCCGACCAGCTGACCGGGAATACTACGCGGAACCGCAAACCGGTTCGCGAAACGCTTGTGGGAACAAAGACGGGTTTCGTCCGCGGCTCTCTCTGACGTCACACGCGAAGCGGAAAGTGGGTGGATGGGTGTGTGAGATTGCCGAGTCAGTGAGGACGGTCAGTGATCGCCTCTCGGTGGGTTTAAATCTTCTTCTACGAGACGAGAGACGTGCAAAGATCGCAAGAAATTTCATTTCAAACGCATGATTAGCGAAATCCCAGAGGAGACATTCGAGATTAAGAGTGATTGCTTTAATAAAATTCCACCAGCTTTCTACAAATTAAATAGATACAACTCTTGATTGTCAAGTTATTTATTTGTGAGAATTGTTGTCCGTAAATAATTTAATTTAAAAAAATTCAATTGTTGCATTTTGGACAATATAAATTAAATAATTCAATTAATATTTTCTTATTAAATCTTAAATATAATAGATCGATAAAAATTGATTTTTTTTAAATTTAATTAAACATTATAAAGTATATTAATAATTAAATTTGCAAATTCAATGAAAGCGACAAAGTGAAATTGACAAGACTTTTAACGTTGAGATACAATTGACGCAGGTAGCGTATTATTGTTGACCGGGCACAGCATTATGCAACATATTGCAATAATTTCGTCACGGCCAGCAACTTAATGCGTCACTGATCGCTTTCAATGACTCAGATCGATCGTGAGAGGAGGAAAAAGATCGTTTTCCTCAACAAGTAAATTAATTTTGGTCCAGTGACCGGTTCGGTTATTACTTTCCAAAATTGTTTTCATATGAAATTCTCGGAAATGAACAATTTTTTTTTCGTATTTTATCGGCGATTAATATATCTAGTTTACAAACAAAGTAGAAAAATACCGAATTGAATAAAAACGAACGATAAAAAAATTGATTACAAACGATGCGGAACGAGGAAGAAGTGCAATATTTCAGTTGCGGTGGTTTAGAGGGGGGAAAAAAAAGAGTTACGATGAGGATGAGAAAGTAAAGAGGCTGAGAATCTCTGCAACCGAGAAGCGAATGATTCACCAAGCCGCAAAAAGATGGAAAAAAGAGAAGAAGCAGAGGAAGAAGAGCAAAGAGTGCTATCCCAGAAGCATCACGACGAGTTACTTTCTTCGTTTCGCTTATTCCGCGACGATAATCGCGACAAGAAACATACAAAGTGCTCAATCTTGTATTGGGAATACTCCTCTTTTTCTCTTTCCTTTCGATGCGTCAAACTCTTGTATTCCGTGATGCGGTATACGTGAAAAATGATATACTTGTACAATTTTAAATATTGCTATCAGCTGAAGCGAGTTTTGCATGCGAGACAAGATACGAAATAATTTCAAAAGACCGCAGCGTCAGCTGTTCGCTCCAGTTCGCTGCAATTTGAAAAAAAAAAGAGAAAGAAAGACAAGTAAAAAATGTTCTCGAGTTCAAATGCGGTTACAGAACATTACGTAACATTATTTATTTATTTAATTAAAATATTATTTAGTAAAACGAAAAACTGCTTTATTCGAAACTGTAACAATTGTCGCAAACTCTTCTTTTTTCAAATTATTAAAGATGTATTATAAGATAGTTTTAAAAATAGAATTTAATTAATTATTTTTGCAAAGGAAAATTTCATTATAATTGATAAAGAAACATTATCTCATTTTATCATCTCTAACATAAAGTATCTTAACAACATACTCCTTTCAAATCTTTAACGGTTCAAAGCCCTCCCACAAAGGGTTCGCATTGCGTTGGTCTCTTGAAACCTCCCGGTGGGGAAAAATCATTAACGCGTAAAATTCATCGCGCGAGGAAAAGCCTACACGCCTAGTCTTTAACCTCGATTTCAATCGGCAACAACCGGTGCTTTGTCTTCCAGTAAAGAACTGGATGCTACAAATCTTCTCGGCTAATCGAAAATAGCCCTTAACGAACTCGGTCATCAGATAATAGTGGAATGTAGATCAATGAGAACATAAATTCAAAGAAAAAAACATTTCGTAGAATCATATTGCGTAGAAAAATATCACGCACATCTCTCAAAATTTATTATATACATTGATATTACAATATAGTATATTATCACATATTAATATTAAACTGTTAATTATGCGCATCGTTTCGCTTAATATTTTTTTTTTAATAGACTTTCAATTTTTCGTTGTGGCTTATTTAATCTTACCTGAGAGATTAGAATCTCGCGCACGCAAAGAACGAAAATAACGATCGGGAACATTGAAAGACGTTGCTTTCGTTATCGGTCATCATTTCACACGAAATTCATCGTGATAAGACGATGTGGAAAATAGAGAGACGGCGGAATGGATATCGAGGACAAAAGTCGCGCGAGCAAAGGAGCTGAGGGGGAGACTCTCCAGTTACTTTGCGAGAACATTGTCGTCGACACAATGCCACAACTCGCGGAAGAGAGGATAACCGAAGGAAGGATATCCGATAAGAATACCACGAGGCAGAAAGAAGGCCAATGAGAAACATCCTCTTGTTCCCGACTCCCTCGCAAAATCCAACGGATCAACCATTGAAGGAAAAGTCGGTCAGCGATACACAGACTAGGCCGCAAGCTCCCTGCGAAATGAGCTTTTACCAAATGGCAATGGAAATGAGCGCGATAATACGACTCTGAAATCGGGACAATCGGAAGGAAATGACGCCCCCTTTTGTGCGGCCAGAGCTTTTCAATCCATTTCTGCCGCATTACATCAGCCTTGTGCATCGATCGCAGATTATGGATTTATGATTATCTCTCTGAAAGTTAGCGATATTTGCGATGTCAATAATTTTTTGCATCGGAAAATATTTCATTCTTTCGATCGAGATAAAATTTTCACCCAACATGAGACTTGTAATTATTTTTGATAGAAATCCCGAAGTTTATCGATACAAGATTAATTTAATCTAAACAACGAGTATTGAGGAAAAACGATGGAAAAAAATTCTATTAAAAGCTACTCGTCGCTCTACAAGTATCTTTTTGCATAATAATGGAAAACTGATAGTTCGCCTTTTTCTCGAAATATAACGAAAAGTTAAGGATAGTCGATGCGTCGTCAACAATTATCGGACTTGAGGTGCGATAAACCGCCGATGGACCGCGAGAAATAAAAGCCAAAATTGTTTCTCGCTCGTTGTATCGTCGTTCCAAAGTTTAGGCATTCGTTCCTCGATGATGAGAGTTCGTCGCTCCAGTCTATCCGCAATATTCATCGGAGCGATGGATTCAATTTTACAACATCGATTTCAATGCAGATCACTTTGGCAAGAGTTCGCGCGATATACAGGGTGATCCATTACATCGGTGCATTAGTTAATATTCCGTATTCGAGGCAGGTCAATATTTTCAGTCAATTAAATTCTAAAAATTGAAGTTTATAAATGGACAGAAAATAAGTGCAACTAGCACGATACATTTTCTATTTTATCAGCGTCGGAGGAGATCTTCCCGAATGTCATTGGCCGACAACAAAATCGGATGAGACTCGGAGCATCATTCGATCGATCGGTAATCGCATGGTCAGTCGTGCGATGACCGGAAAACGTCAGAGACAATGAGGAAGAGACGGAGGTGTGGCTCACCTAGACCCATCTTGCGCTTGAGCTTCTTGAGCACTTTCATCTTGCTGCGCAAAGGTGCCAGGATGTTGTTGTCGCCGCTGTTGTTGTGCTGCGGCGACGCGCTCCCTGGTGCGTGCTTGCCGTGATGATGATGGTGATGGTGATGATGGTGGTGCTGATGATGATGATGGTGATACGGCTCGCTGCTGGGTTGCTGCTGCTGTTGCACGCTCGCGCCGGAACTGCCGACGTGGCTGCAGCAGAGACAGGGGTGGCTGCTTTTGCTGCCCTTGATCACGCACTCTCCGGACACCCCCATAAATGTGGTCGTGCTGCTCCCGAAAGAGTCAGGCGCGAAAACCCGCGGCGAGGTGTACAGAGAGACGGACAGACGGAAAGAGAAAGAGAGAGAGAGATACGCGGAAGGACGATGGAGTTTTAAGTACGACGGACGTGACTCACTGACGATCGCACTTTCGGACACTGATCCAAGCGAAGACGAAATTATTCCTTCCGTTTCCTTCACACCACTGTGCTCGACTATCGTGAAAAGCTACGCGAGACTTCGGAGCGCGAGGAGCTTCCGAGAGGAAAATGAAACGCGACTCGATATTCCCTTCTCGAATCCCGACTCGTTTTACTCGGCGAGATAACGTCTGACGGTTGGCCGGGTCACCATGTATCAACCTTCAATCCGACAAGTCAGAAGAGAGACCGCGTGTCACGGCGACGAGTGACGCGTGAATCGCGAATCGCCTGCGCGTCTCCCGTCGAGCGCCCTGGGACGACTGACTGTTTTCTGTCGCGGAGCGCGAGAGTATTGCCGCAACGCGCGCGAGCCGGCGTCCAATGATACCGCGCCGATCCCCACCGGTTTCAAGGTGGTGGAAACACATGGAGGGGTGACTGGCACCTGGTGGACAGCTGCCCCTTACCTGGCCGCGATGCACCCGGCCACCCCGACGCGCGAGGCCACAGCACGGGATACATCGCCGCCTGGGGTTAGATATATACAAAGTTATCGTCGATTGGATGAGGGAAACTTGAACTTCTCCCCGTTAATTTCTCGACCTTCAGGATCGGTTCGCACGATTCTCCTCCTCGTAATTTTACCCAATTCTCTTCTATCGGTCCAAGTTAATAAGATCCAGCCAATTGTCTGGCAATCGTCGTCTAATCAGAAACTTGAAATGTTGAAGCTGCGCTATTTTAGATTAACTTTTCCTAATGTTTTTACAATTATTTTTATTTGTCTTAGAATATCCTTTAAAAATATATTTACTTTTTGTATAAATTATCTTTAGATATCTATTTATAAAAGTAATTCGTAATTTTACCCAATTCTGTTCCATCAGTCGAAATTAATAAGCCAAAGATCCAGCCAATTGTCTGGCAATCGTCGTCTAATCAGAAACTTGAAATGTTGAAGCTGCGCTATTTTAGATTAACTTTCCTAATGTTTTTACAATTATTTTTATTTATCTTAGAATATCCTTTAAAAAAATATTTAGTTTTTGTATAAATTATCTTTAGATATTTATTTATAAAAATAATTATAGTAGTAGCAAATGTGAATGAAGCTCATTATAATCATCGTGGCTGCCATTTGGCAGCCGGTTCGCGACTCGGAGCATATCCATAGAAAGATCGTATTTCCATGAGACTCGAGATGTGTCTCTCATCCCATGACGGTACAGACCAAGATCGTACAGCAAGCTACAAATTATATAATAACAACAAAAAGAGAAAAACGATATTCGTGGCGAAGAAATTTTATACAGGTACCCATATATTTCAAACAATCCGCTTCAAACTTTAAATACGTTCAAAATTATGCCTGACGTTTTGCTTCATTTTCATGCGGGCTCTTTCAGAGATGACAGAAGTGATTTATATTGATACAACATTGAAGAAAATATTTTTTAACAGCGACCAAATTAATGATGTTATAGGGAAAGAGCAGAAGATCCTTAGAGAGGATCACCACTCGATTCGGTGTCTCCTTCGAATTGTATTTCCTCCTGGAGGACGAAATTCAATTCGAAGGAGACACCGAATCGACTTACGCGAAAAGAAATGTCATTATGGCCAGAGGGAATTGGATCTGTGACGAGGTGAAATCGAAGTCTCGACGATCGATACAAGAATGAGTGGATACTCGCGAGAATTCCGATAGTTTTTATTTCCTGCGTCCCTGATGAGTATGCACGACAAGAACATTAATGCCACAATGTAAAATTAATTTAAATTGTTGAACCTGATAAGAAGAGAGAACCGGGGGAGGAATAATTATGATGCTGCTAAATACACAGAGAAAAAGGACATTCTTGTTTTGAAAATATATTTATTTTTAACATGGAAACCTTGAAATGAGATTATTGCGTTAATTAAAGAAAAATATAATTACTTGAATAATTGCTTACTTGAATGAAACCATTTTATATAGTTCAATCGAGAAAAATATATTCTTATAATTTAAGATTTAATTGTCTTGAATGGAAAAGAAACAATGTTGGATAGAAAATAACATTTTTAAATCAAAGATTATAATTTTCTTAAAGTAGAATCAAATAATTATATATTCTTGGGATGACAATTACAATATTAAAATAAGACTATAATATTGTTGAAATTTAAAATTACTAAATTCTTCTAAGAAGATTATAAATTGTTGCGTATATACGAAACAATGAACGCGTTAGTTTAAGTATATAAGTTTTGATTTGACACTTATTTTTTTTCTATAAATTAATAATTTTTCTATAAATAGGAAAAGTGTAACCCTTCGTATCGATGGCCTCGTTTATATTTCTCGCCCCATTTCGCTTTGTGCCGTTAAGTGACTCGTATTCTGCGCGACCCCATCATCGGTAACTCGAATTTCGCATGGAACCAACAGGTTGCGATATCAACGCAAGGTGCACTCGATATATTATGCACCCTTGCAAGGTACGAGCGCAGTAGCCGTTATAACAGATCTCGAGAAAGAACTACTGCCACTTTTTGTTTTCCTTACATCGTTAATTTCCTGGAAAAAATTATCATAATCCGACTAATTTTACGCTCGCTCGTAAAGTAGTCGTGTAAAAATATAATTGAGCGAAAGAAAGAGAGAGAAGGAAAATTACCTACGTGGAATAATAGTCTCGATAGTAACGCGCAATAATGTCGTTCTATCAACATCGCTCATTGTTTTAGCGGATAACGAGGAGAAACGTCGAACACCACGCACAGAGAAAGATGTATACCGTATTCAAGTAAATATTATTTATTTTAAGTATATCATAAGTTTGTATATCCGCAAATATATCATAGGTTTACCACAAGCATTAAATTTAATTGAATATATTCTGAATTTTAGTAAGTGCAGTATTTTAGTCAAGAATATTAAATTAAAACAAAAATTTGGTTTGCTTACTACAAGAGTTGACGTAAAGCAAGTTTGATTTTTCTTTGATACAACTTTTACAATATTCTTGAAGAGAAAATAAATTCTTCCTTTGAGTACATTATAATGAGATTTTCTAACACTTGTGATGAGTATATTTGAAGACTATTATCAAGAATATATTCTTTGTTGAAGAAAACTATAACTTAAAAAAAGAAAAATAAACTGAGTAATCGCTTTTCTTGGCAGTAGAATGATATTTTTCTCTGTGCGGGACGTAAAGTGCAAATCCATGGTCCCGATACTTTGTGCCGGACGTAAAATACGTGCTCGGCGCGTATCTAGCGTCTAGAGTAAATAGGCGGGCACGCAAGAGTCAAATCAAACAGACCTACGCACCTACGCGAGTACGATTACCTCGACGAAAAGAGGTTTGTCACGCCGCGCGGTTTCCACGCACCGCGCGTGTGCGTGTCATGCAGACATTTTATTCAGTCGTGCATCCGCATGGTATTATATTTGCGCGGGAGTAGGAAAAGGAAAAGGAGATAAAAAGAGAAAGAGAGAGAGAGAGAGAGGCTCAGATTCTCTCTCTTTCTCTTTCGTAAGATGGGAAATATGCCCACGGCACCGTGGCTGCGGCTTCCTTTCGCACATCCTTTTCGTCGACACCGGCGTACCTATTGCGATTACACGCGTAGTAACGGGCGCTGTTTGTTCGCCTCGGATTCATTCATCAAACTCGAGTGATCGATAATAGACTTAAAGCCAGGAGTACAAAGCGCTTCGAAAACTCTCGTTTTGTATGGAGAAACAATTTTACTTAAATAATACAATGAAAATAAGGCAATATATTTAAATATATTTACATTTTATGTATATTAAATAATATATATTAATGAATAAAATATAAATAAAATATAAATATAAATGAATAAAATATAAATATGAATTAAAAAAATATATAAATATAAATAAAATTTAATACATTAATATATTAAATAATATATATTAATAAATATATTAATAAATATATTAATAAATAAAAATTTAAATATTTGTTACATATTTCAAATACAACAAAAATAAGATTAATTTATATAAATATATTATAATAAACATATTTCAATGAAAATAAAACAACATATTTAAATTTTTTGTTAATTAATACGTGCAATGACCTGCAGTGATAGATGCGAAATGCTTTATATTTACGCGAATCCCTCATTCGGTTAAGCGACGAACGGCTTAACCGCCTAATTATAACGCAGTAGGAGAAAATAATTACGAGACGCCCGAAAGAACTTCTTACGACGCTCCTTCAATTAATTCCCCGCTCGTACCTCATTATATCCCCGCTATACGTGGGCACGCACATAAACCGCGCATATTGTTCTTTGCACGTGAACGACCAGTACACGCGCACGCACTCGGCCCGCGTATGCGATTATTTATATGCACGCGTGCGCGCACGCGTGCATTTGCACGTCGCTGTAGGATGATGATAATGCACCTCGTTGACCGCGCACGCGTAGATGCGTGAATTTCAGGACGCGAAAAGGAGTTTCGCTGAAAGCAATATTCAAAAAAGAGAAGAAAACAGAATAGTTTAGGAGTCTTGTCTTTTGTACCACTTTTTACATCAACGAGTCAACATATCTATTATCGATATAATAAATATTGTGCTTGATAAAATTAAATATGTCCACAGTATTATAGAGTTAAACAATATTAAAAGAAGAGAAGAAAATAAGACAGTTTAAGAATCTTATCTCTTGTATCACGTTTTATATCAACGAGTTAACATATCTATCATCGATATAATAAATATTGTGCTTGATAAAAATAAATATGTCCACAATATTATAGAGTTAAACAATATTTAAAAAAGAGAAGAAAATAAGACAGTTTAAGAATCTTATCTCTTTTATCTCTTTTTATATCAACGAGTCAACATATCTATTATTGATAGATAATAAGTTTGGTGCTTGACATAAATAAATATGTTCACAATATTATAGAGTTAAGGAATATTTAAAAAAGAGAAGGAAACAGGACAGTTTAAGAATCTTATTTTTTGTATCACGTTTTATATCAACGAATCAACATATCTATTATTGATTTAATAAGTATTGTGCTTGATATAAATATGTCCATAATATTATAGAGTTGAGCAATATTAAAAAAAGAGAAGAAAATAAGACAGTTTAAGAATCTTATCTCTTGTATCACTTTTTATATCAACGAGTCAACATATCTATTATCGATATAATAAGTATTGTGCTTGATATAAATAAATATATCCACAATATTATAGAGTTAAGGAATATTTAAAAAAGAGAAAGAAACAGGACAGTTTAAGAATCTTATTTTTTGTATCACGTTTTATATCAACGAGTCAATATATATATCGTCG